CAGTAACACACCTAGATGAAGGATTTCAAAAGGAACACCAGGATGATGAACATCACCCATAAATAACAAAGCATTTTAAATATAAAACAAACCAGTACCTGGCACCTAGTATTTAAAAGGAGACAATATCAGCTGACTTGGAGACCCAGGCAGACTTATTTCAGGAGACAAACAGGTTTCAAGGCTCATGCTTGCTTTGGGTTGCTAGTGTTACTCAAAAATGTAGCCTTAAAACCCCTATGTTCAGGCCGGGCGGTGGTGGCGCACGCCTTTAATCCCAGCACTCGGGAGGCAGAGCCAGGCGGATCTCTGTGAGTTCGAGGCCAGTCTGGGCTTCCAAGTGAGTCCCAGGAAAGGCGCAAAGCTACACAGAGAAACCCTGTCTCGAAAAACAAAAACAAAACAAACAAAAAAAAAAAAACAAAAAAAAAAAAAACCCTATGTTCATCTTCTCACAGCTCTGTAGTGTGCAGAGCTCAGTGGGAGTTCATCTCTCTCTGTGGCACCAGTACCCTGGCTCCATGGGGACTAGAGGGTCAAGTTCATTCTAAGCAGTCTCGGGTGACTGACAGCAGCTGTCCACACTCAGAGCTTGGTGGCTGCTGTCGACTAGGGGCCTCTCCTCAGACCCCTTCCACACAGCCCACATGGCTGTTCTTTCTCTCACAGAGTCCATAATTCTCTCTGTTGAGGACCACCAAATTTGGATTTCAGCCAATGGTTCCTGAAATACCTCAAAAGAGCTTTTCAGATATTCCTCCCTACATGCCCCACTGATCTCTCCAGCTCAATGTTCTCTCAGTTCAGAAGGTCTTCCATTTCTAGGTTTGTGCATCTTAGTTTATAATCAGCACAGAGGCCTGCTGAGGTCCAGCTCCTATACATGCCTCATTCAATCCGTCACAAGCTAAGTACCCACAAGTCTACTATTCCAGATTAAATTTGATTCCCCCAAATATATATTAAAATCCTAACTCCTGGTTCCCGTGAATGTCATCTTATTTGGAAACATACTCTTTGCAGATATTATCAAGTAAAGATGCCATAAGCTTGGGCCTTAATCTGATAAGACTGGCAACCTTATAAAGACAGGAAACTCTCGCAGGAAGACCCACATGTAGAGAGAACTCCCATGTGACAACAGATGCAGGGATTGGATCACACCATTGCAAGCCAAAGGCCACTTATGTGGCTGCCTTATGTTCTGATGGTTTCCTGCGGATACCAGGAAGAAGCAAAAAAGGATTCTTGTTTTGTTCACATCTCTTTGTCCTGATTCTCTCCTACAGGCTTTAGAGGGAACCCAGATTTGCCAACACCTTGACTTTGGACTTCTAGAACTGAGAAACAATGGATTTCTGTTGTTTCTAAGCAACACGTTTGTGGTACACCATTAAGGCATCCCTAGGAACAATGATTGCATTTCTATTTGAACTTTATTGAATCCTTCCTTCCATTATTTGTAGCTGGAGTTTTCCTGTCTGGCCCACAGTCAGGACAAATCTCTCTCACCCGCCAGTCCCACAGCCACTCAGACCCAACCAAGTAAACACAGAGACTTATATTGGTTACAAACTGTATGGCCGTGGCAGGCTTCTTACTAACTGTTCTTACAGGTTAAATTAATCCATTTCTATAAATCTATGCCTTGCCACATGGCTCGTGGCTTACCGGCACCTTCACATGCTGTTTGTCATCATGGCGGCTGGCAGTGTCTCTCTGACTCAACCTTCTACTTCCCAGCTTTATTCTCCTCTTTGCCCCGCCTACACTTCCTGCCTAGCCAATGGCCAATCAGTGTTTTATTTATTGACTAATTAGCAACACATTTGCCATACAGACCATCCCACAGCAATTCTTCTTCCTCCTTAAATGCTGCCTTATCATTTCTAATTTTCTCTTTCAAACATCACAATCATTTTTAAAACCTAAAATCAAACTCTTTAAGTCTAGTTATTAACATTTGATGGTGCCCTTCAGTACTAAGGATGAAATTTGAATTCCTCAGCACGGCCTTCAAGGCCTTTCATGATTCAGATGGCGGCTTCTCTGCGGCCACATCCTTTGTGCAAGCTCGTGTCTGGGGCTGTTGACACACCCTTTGCAGCCTGTTGACACACCCTTTGCAGCATCGCTCCAGCATGAGATGTGCACTGTACTTGTCCACCTGGGGAGCTGCAGCTTTTCCATATCAACAACCATCTGGGAGCTCACTGAGAAGTCTTTCCTAATCCCTTCCCTGCAGCCCAGGCAGGCTGTCCCATTTCCTCCTCCGCTGTGCTCACACAGCACTGGTCAGACGTCTCTGACAACTCACGATGTCCTCCAGTGGCTTGTTTGGCAGGAGACATGCCGCTTTCCTTTCTATATCCTCGGGACCTCTGTGTTTGACCCATGTGGATGCTTAGCGAATATCTGCTGAGTGAGTGAACCAATGAGGAGACAAAAAGTGAGCTTCAAAGTCCACACTGGATATTCAAGTGAGAAACGCTCAAAAAATTCTTATCCAGCTAAGGTCACATCATCTTCGGTATTTAAACTTTGTTGTAAAAAACAAATCAATATTTGTCATTTGATATAGGCAGGGAAATAAATAATAACATCATTTCAAGCACAAATCCTAACCTTTTAGTCATATAATGAATGATTCCTGCTCACCTGAGATATCCATGAAATGTTCTTACTCTGACATATAATCTGTTTGGAAATTTCTTGAACAAAGAGACAGAGACTTTCTCTTCATTCAAGCAACAACACCAGATGAATCAGACTTGACTCTGCCTTCAAAGAAGGAAGGAGTTTCCTCCATTTCAGACCTAGAAGATGTCTGTGATAACATATGGCATGGGGGAAGGGAGGGTGGGGTTCTTGAGTACTGTACAGAACAGAATCAGAGTCAATTCCAGACATACAAGGGGAGGGCTCTTTCCCAAGAATTAGGTAGATGGTACTCAGAAGCAATGAAGTACTCACACACTCACCATTTTAACGGGTTTTATTACTTGCTTACTCAACCGTGCAGTCACCTATGTGCGAGGAATGCTTCCTGCCTCCAGGAAAAGCACCTGCTAGCATTTGTGCAGATTGGGAATTTGGGCATCAACTGACTTTCAAGTAACTTCTCCATTTATGAACCGACAACTCTTTTGGACCCATCCCTTCCATTGCTGTCTTTAGACCTGGGCTGAGCTACTCCAGGGAGGTGATGGAAATACCTAATCTGTCTCTCTCTAGCTAGACAGCACGTTCTGCACAGTGTGCTGGTTGCCCCCCATGGACCATCACCCTCCTCCTCCTTGCCTGGTCCCATCAACTTCTCTGTCTGTATTCCTTCCAGACCCTCTTTGAGACAGAAACTTCAAGGCTTTCCCTGAGAAGCAACTTCCTGGCTTTGAGTCAACTTCTGTCGACCCCACTGACTGGTCATGAACTTGGGCATGCAGCTAGCTTTCCAGAGATCTCACTTCTCTTCCTTCTTAGGGGTATTTTTCCTTCCCCTTGTATGCAAGGATCCTCAGAACAAACAGCTACCACACAGTTTGGATACCAGTGGCTTTCAACAAAGAGGTGATCACACGTGTGAACTGTAAGTTGGTAGGTGTTAAGTGATCTCTCCCATGCACATGCTTCTGGTAGAGCTGGGGTGGCCTGAGCAGATGGGCCCTTGGCAGTGTGCCTCTAGTCTTCAACACATTTCACATCCACTCAGCAGCTGTCACTTTGCCCTCAGACAGGATGGGCACAGCACTGTGACCTGTGAACGCATCCCAAAGAAGATGTGTGTGAACTTGATCCTCTGTGAATCAGTCTAGTGGCAGAGGGCAACAGCAATCAGCAGTACTGGACAGAAGCTGGGAATGTCTGCGAGCTGTAGAGAAGCCACAATGTGAATGTCTCCATCATGCCTATTGGATGGCATAAAAGTGCCAGATAAACAAACAGCTGATCAGAAATTAGAAACCCGGGCTGGAGAGATGGCTCAGCAGTTAAGGGCGTTGGATGCTCTTTCAGAGGACCTGAGTTCAATTCCCAACACCCATATGGAGGCTCACAACTGTCTGTAACTACAGTTCAGAGGATCTGATACCTTCTTCTGGCCTCTGTGGGTACTCCATGCATGTAGTACACAGACGTACATGTAGGCAAATACACATAAAATACTACTGTGTAAAAATTAAGAAATTAGAAACCATGTAGAGCAATGAATGGTTCTCAATCTGTGGGTGACAGCCCTGTGAGGAATCACATCTCAGATATCCTGCATATCAGATATTTATATTACGACTGATAACTAGCAAAACTACAGCTATGAGGTAGCAATGAAATAAATAATTTTATGGTTGGGGTCACCACAGCATGAGGAGCTGTATTAAAGGGTTGCAGTGTTAGGGAGGGTGAGCACCCCTGTGCCAGAGAGAGCCGAAAACGTGAGGAGGTCAGAACATGGAATGAGGAGAGATTCCAAGCACTGGGAATATCTATCCTGGAGGAAAGATGCTTCTGGATACAGGCATGACTCCCTGGGACAGATGAGTGGTCAGCACATGGGGTTCAGAGGCAGAAGCTGGCCTCAACCGAATGTCATAAGGAAGATGATTCTGGCTCAGTAGAATTAAAAATGTTTTGACAACTCAGGCTTAATAATAATCTCACACCAGCAGCTGTTTATTGAGTAGCTGTGATGTTGTGGACACTGAGTGAGGTCTTTTATATGTTTTATTAAATCTGCACTTTCAGTCAGAAGAACAAATAGCTCTCATACTAAGCCCAGTAGGATAACAGAAAGGAATCATCAAATAGAGTAAATTTCCAGTGCTCAGACAGCCATGGAGTCTGGGCCTAGATGAGTAAACAGGGATTTCAGGAGATTTCCAGAGGACACAAAGGAGGCAGGTGTGGACCAATGAATGCCCCAGAACAGAGGGCTTGGTTGGAAGGACACACTCGAGGGACTGCAGCGGCGGCAGCAGCGGGGGGGGGGGGGCGCAGGGGGGGTTTGGGGGGGGTCCCCCCATGGGCACTCAGAGATGGTTCAAGCTCAGAATTAGCAGGAAAGAGATTAGGAGAGAGATGTGGAACCTAATCACTGAACAGTCCAACCACTCACTCAAGCACATTTCTGCTCTCTGACTTTATGGGGACAAGTCAGCTTGCAGCAGCCACGGACCTCAGTTTTGGACTTCGCTGCTGATCGGGTAAATCTCCTATCTTGTAAAGAGAGCAGTGGTGTTCTTGTCTGGTTCCCACACACCATATGTGGTCACCTTTCTTCTAACATACTCTGTACCTGTGCAAACAGCTCCCAGCCAGCCCTGAGCATGGGGGGAAAACATTGCTAGAGAAATGATGGAGGACACCCATGTCAATTGTCCCCAAAATAGCCTTCTCCTTTCTTTCCTTAACACACAAGAATCATAGGCATTTTGAGGAACAATACCCGATTAACAGAGAAAGAAGAACCAATATCAGAAAGCAAAATAAAGAATGAACCAAAGGGGCTGGAAGGATGGCTGCAAGCCTGAGGACCTGAGTTCAGTACTCAGAACCAATGCCCAAAATAGCCAGGCATGGTGAGGCAGAGACAGGCAGATCCCTGGGTGTTGCTGGCCAGCCCTCATGGTCTCCGTGAGGTTCTGGCCAGTGAGAGACCCTATTTCAAAGCTCAGGTGGATGGTACCTGAGGAATGACATCCAAAGCGGTCCTTTAGTTTTTGTGTGTACCCACAGACAGGTGAATGCACACATGTATGTACATACACACATGCACATAAACAAAACAACTGTTCAAAGTTCAAAACAAAAAGTTAAAAAGAAAATCTAGTATCACAAGAAATATATCTAGGATGAGAGAAAAAACCTTAAAACTTTTTATTAGAATCTCAGAATTCTGAAGTGAGATTGCTGTCTGTGGAACATGAGCAGGCCGCATTAAAAATAGGATATTCAGAAAATAATTGCTTAGGAATTAGAATGTAATTTCTGCTATAAAAATTTAATAGCTGCACTAGATAATAGAATTAAGGAAAACTGTCAAGAGCATGAGCAAAAGAAAGTAGTTATAGAGAGAAGGCATGACAGGCCAATGGGGTCTCAGCATCTGCCCAGGAAAACGCGCTAGGTAATAAAAAGGGCACATATCAAGGTGATTAAAAAATAGAAAAGAAAAGAAAAAAGCACTCGTGTCTTTGGTATAAAGTGTCTTTATCAGAAGCTACACAAGTAGGGGGCCAGGGGATGACTGGGTGAGCAAAGTGCTTACTTCACAAGCTTGTGGGCCGGAATCAAGATCCCCACCCCCACCCTCCAGCCAGAATAACCCAGCACTGGGTGGGCAGAGACAGGTGGGCAGCGTGGGGGCTCACTGGCCAGTTAAGCCAGCCAAAATGACAAGACCCAGGTTCAGTGAGAGACCATGTCTAAAAACTAAGGTAAAGAGTGATTGAGGGAGACATTCAGCATTAACCTCAGACCTCCCCATGCATATCCATGTGTGGATAAGTGTACCTCTCCCACATGTATATAGCACACATATGCACATAAACATGGAAATAAATGAAGAAATGTACAGATTCAGCTACGTAAATTCCCACCACTCCACCCTTCCACAAGGGAAAACAAGAGCTTCCACAAAGAGAAAAATAAAGCTCATACAGAACAACACCCCTGCCCCCCACCCCCAATACACACACACAAAGAGCATGCCTTGAGCTGGTGGGATCGTGGAGCCAGTGATGGAACCTAGCTACAGCACAGCAATCCCTTGGAAGTGCTAAGAAAAGGACCTGAGCTGCTACCCTCCCCGTGCTGACCATCCCAACACGTGCTTAGAGATAAGCAGGAGGCTGCAGAGCATCTAAGTCCCTCCACACAGGTGAAAGCGACAACTGAGCAATAAAGAGGGCCAGATGGATCCAAGGCCTGCATCACATTCATGCAGAATACAGGTCTGGGGTCTTCCCAGTTCCCCAGGGAACTGTTGCACCTGGCTCAGGTAGCACTCTATCCAAGAAACACTACTGATGTTCCTGCCCTCTTCCCTTCTCTAGTGTCTTTCCCAGAAGCCCTCTCAGAACAAAGGAGTGGTTATAAGTACAGCATGTTACAGAATGTTCCCTGAAGGGCTGGGTGAACTTGAGCTGAGGCTCCCATATGTGCCTGCTCTCGAATGTGTGTATGGCTCTTCCCTAAGTCAGCTCCACCTCAACACAGTAAGACAAGGGCTTGTTTGAGGACGCTCAGGAGCTAGAGATGAGCTCCACTGTCTTTCCAAAACAAGATGAATTGGGGATTTACTTAGATATTGAAAATTAAACCTAGAAAAGAATTTAAGAAAAAAATAGAGTTATTCCAAGAAAGAAATGAAAAGGCTAGTCAGAAGAAGTTACATGGGAAGCTTTTGAACAACTGGTCCAAGATAGAACTTAAATAAAAAGACTCCAAGAAGCAAGTGGTTTTTATTCAACAAGTGATACTGAAGCCTTGGAAGCATCTAGTCATTGAATGAGGAGGCCACATTTTTCTCTCAATAAGACAAAAAGAAAGATTCTTTAAAAATCATGGAAAACACATACAAGCAAGACCCACGCAAAGGAGTAGCCAAAAAAAAAAAACAAAAAACAAAAAAAAAACCATCGTGCTTCTGAGCAGGTGAGGTTCAAGAGAGTGCATTTGGCTGGAGTGTGTGAGAAATCTGTGAACCACACAAGGCTAGCAGCGGCACAGGATTTCCAAAGTATTTGTCTTATAATAAGCTTTATGTAACTGTAACATTGGCAGAGATATTTTGTTTTTAGAATCAATCTGTAGACAAAACAGGAGAGACTTCATTCTAAGTGTAGGAAGGAGCCAAGGAGATGTCAGCAGGTAAAGTGTCTGCTTCACAAATTTTGAGTTAGGAAGTCAGGTGGGTGTGAGAGCAGCCTGTAACCCCAGTGGTCCAACGGAGACAGGGAATTATCCAGAGCAAGTAAGAAGACCAGACCAGCTCAGAGGAAGAGTGAGAGACCCTGCCTCAATACATAGTGTGGAGAGTGACAAGGAAGACACCCAAGGTCAACCTCAGGACACGCACAGACACACACATACATACACACACACACACAGCATGCATATGTGCATACACTATACACATAGTGATACACACGAAACTAATAATAAAAGTACAAATAGAATTCAAGTGGTACAATCTTATAAAAATGATTACTACAATTGATAAGAGTAGAGGCAGGAGATGGGATGGTGGTCAGCCCTGAAGTCTCATTTGCCCAGGAACTGCCAGGTGCATTGATGCAGAACTAACATCTGAGTGTGCTAGTTTATTCTGCAGTTACTAAGTGCATTGCACACTCTCACCCATGAGCCAGGTCCTGAGAGAGATCCTGAGCCAGACAAACATGCTTTCCCACCCTGAGCAAGCTCATAGGAGCTCAGTGGGAACAGTACCAGAGGCCAAAGCTAACACTCTTTGGCAGAAAGAAGCCAGGGAATTCTCACTGCAACTGAAAGAACCACAGAGAGAACTGATATAGAAATATAGCATAAATGTTTTACATTGCTATAGATTTTAGTTTATTACAAATTTAAAGTTAATTTTGTTATACTGTATATATATTTCTACTCTCATTTAAGGTGTTATGTTTATATAACTCATTTAGATTGTAATGGATAATTAAAAAATACAGATTAATAATTAGTCTTCTATGATAGTCAAACTTATAGTCATGTTAAGTTTTCTAGTTATACATAGATATAATTCAATTAGTTAGGTAATCTTCAAATACTTCAAAGACCTACAGAATATGGCATTTAAAATGTATTAAAAACTTAAGACTTTTCTGGACAACGAGACAAGTCTGCTTCTGGCAGCACCAATTACTTCAAGGAGGATGATGGGCATTGAAGAAACTCATTATGGAATTTGCTTTCTTTGTGGCAAAAGTTAGCCACTGGGCAAAAAAGTGCCCTTATGTCAACTGATTGACAGTATGTTGTATAAACTGGACATGCAGGATCCATAGGAAGGTGACCACTGAACTTTGTAAGGTGAGATAGTCCTTCAGGTTTCTGCTTCACAGAAGAAACTGCCAGACATTCTACAGGACACAGAGAGAAGTGACTGAGAGACTCTAGGCATATAGGCTGAAGACTGATGCCCCAATGTTGCAGAGGAATATTGGGTGACTGTCCAGGCAGTCAGCTGTCTCTGTCATTCTAGATTTTTGGAAGTTGCTTATAATGCTCTTCCTTTTTACTTAGGTAATATTATATCCTTCTGAGGTCTTTGATGTAGTTGAAGACTAGGTAGTTGTAATTTTCCTTGGTTATGATAAAAGATAAATCAGATATGAAACTTTAGATTCATAAATATAAGATAGATAGAATATTTTCTTTAATTTTGTCAAATACAAATAGACTAAATATTGTAACTGTAATTCTTGCTTGATAACTGTTCTATTATATGTAATTTTACTATGTTAAACTTAAAACCTTCCTTTTTGATTAGACAGAAAAGGGGAAGTACTGTGGGATGTCGTTCTGTATGCTGTGAATATGTATTTGTTCTGATTGGTTGATAAATAAAATGCTGATTGGCCAGTAGCCAGGCAGGAAGTATAGGCAGGGTAAGCAGGCAATGAGAATTCTGGGAAGAGGAAGGCTGAGTCAGGAGCTGCCACTCAGACACAGAAGAAGCAAGATGACAAGGCAGAACTGAGAAAAGATACCAAGTCAATGGCTAAACATAAATAAGAATTATGGGTTAATTTAAGTGTGAGAGCTAGTCAGTAATAAGTCTGAGCTAATGGCCAAGCAGTTATAATTAATATGAGCCTCTGTGTGCTTACTTGGGGGACACGAGTGGGAGAGATTTGTCCCAACTGACAGCCAGCTGGGACACAGGAAAACTTCCGACTACAGAGAACTAAGACAAGAAATGGTATTAGAAATGGTGGAAAGTTCTTGGGACTGTTATGCCCAGATCATGGGGACTCCTAAAAGACCACCATAGAGACTGAATCCCATTGTAAAAGCAAAGAGCCTTTATTTCAAGCTTGGAGCTTGGTCTCTCTGTTCAACACAGCAATGAGAGCAGAGAGCCCTGAGCCCAGGCAGGGTGGGGTTTTTATCATAGCAGAGATTGGGGTGAGGGGATTTCCAGGGTTCAGGACCCTGATTGGTTGACATTTGTCTAGGGATATAGGGAATGTTTAGAATGTTTCCTCTTAGACTCAGGCCTTCCCTGGGTGGGGTCAGCTCATGGCTTCTCCTGGATCTGGGTGTTGCCTGACAGTAAGCCTGTCACAGAAGCCTGTCATGGCAGCTGTGTGGTCAAGCTGTTTTGCCTCTCCCCCGAAACCAGGAAGTTTCATTGTTCAGTCAGAAAAATTTAAGATTCAAGTCCCTTATCTATATCACACCCCACACCCTCCGAGGCTCAGGGACCATTACCAGAGAGCAGGTGAAAAAAATTGTAAGAGCCAGAGGTCAGGGAAGACCATGACATACAGTGCCTACTCGGCAGGACAGGCTCTCTGCACTCATGAACACACAGCCTGTTACAGTCCAGCATGGGGTATGGAGGAGCTCAAGAGCCCCCACTCCGAGCTGAGGGGCTAATGACAACTGATGGCTTCTGGAAGAGGGAGAGTCAGATTTCTTCAAGGATATGACCCCTGGTAAATGGACCACATTCTGGGGGATGACCCTATACCCATGAGTATATGAGCCAAGTGCAAATTGGTCTTGGTGAATTTTTTTAAGAGGGGAGGGCTGGAGGGGCCTCTGGCAGTGAGATCAGGATCTATCCCTGATGCATGAGCTGGCTTTCTGGAGCCCATTACCTATGATGAAACACCTTGCTCACCCTTGATGCAGAGGGGAGGGGCTTGATACTACCTCAACTGAATGTACCAGGCTTTGCTGACTCCTCATGGGAGGCCTTACCCTTTTGGAGGAGGGTATGAGGAGGGTCAGGGGGAGGCTGGGGGGAGTGGGAGGAGGGATGAGAAGGGGATCTGTGGTTGATGTTTAAAATAAATAAAAAAAAATTTAAATAAAAAGAGGAAAAAAAAGAATAAAGAGATAACACACACACACACACACACACACACACACACACACACACACACACAAAGGAAAGGGCTGGAAAGATGACTCAGCAGTTTGGAGCACTGGATGTTTTTCCAGAGACCCAGGTTTAATTCTCAGCACCCACGTGGTTGCTTACAACCATTCACAACTCCTATTCCAGGGGATTCGGTCTCCACTTCTGAACTCTGAGGGCACCAGGTATTCACGCGGTGTACATATAAACATACAGGCAAGGTATTCATACACATAAAATGCAAAAACTATTCTAAAGAGGGTATGAAGTTGGGAGGGGATTGAGGGTGGTTCTGGGATTTAGGAGGAAGAACGGGAGGTGAATATGATCAAAACTTATTGTGTGTATGCACAACATTCTCAAAAAACAAACTAGTATATTTAAAAAAGAACCTAGTTTCTTAGCTCAATTTATACTATTATGAACTTTTCCATGGGGTCAAGCAGAGGGATCAGGGTTTGAAAAGAGTCAGTTTCAGGGGGATTCAGGGCTGAGGGACCTAGGAGTCCTGGGGTGGGCCAGAAAGGGACTCCACAGACAGGGCAAATAAGCTCAGGAGCAGTGAGGGGCGGGCTGAGAGGAATAATGGAGGGGCGGGCTGAGAGGAATGGAAGGTCAGCTTCCATGGCCGACTGGGCACAATGTAGAATTACCTGGGAAAGGAGTCTCAGTGAAGGATGTAAAATGAGGCTGGTTCCTGGCCTGTCTGTGAGGGATCTTAATTAGTCTGATTGTGATAGGAAGAGCCACTCTGAATGGGGTCAGCACCATTTCCCGGGCGGGCTCTGGACAGTACAAAAGGAGAAAGCCAGATGGGGACACATGCATATTAACCCACTGCTCTCTGCTCTTGACCAGGGCTGCTGAACCTGCTCTCTCAGGCTCCTGTCACTGTCACTGCCTGCCATGATGGACTGTGACCAGGAACTGCAGCTTTTGTCCTGGGTTTATTGTAGCAATAAGATCCCCCAAACAGGGCCTGAACCGAGGGCCACGAGGCAGATGTTTCAGACAGTGAGGCTGCAGTGGATTAAGGGAGGCTTCTCAGGCAGGGGTCTCTGCTTCCTGGTCCATGGAGTATGTGGGGTATCTGCCCCCACTTTACCCTGGGTACTCTTGAGGAGAGGGGAATAAGAAAATATTAGATAGAGGACCTAGTTGACAGAAGAAAGACAGAAACACAGGATAGCTTCGGAGGACTTGGATCAATGCCCAACAGCCCAGAACTTTAGTCCGAAGGGCTTTTTATAACAATGCCAAGGGGAGAGGCAAAAGACCTCCCCCTTGCTAGATAAAGCCAAATGCAGACCCCTCCAAACACCTGGTAACCACACCCGTGGTCAAATCATCCCCTTATGTAGCCCTCCTGGGTAAAGCAAGCTCAGATTCTCTTACCTTGAGTAATTTGGGCCTCCACAGGAGCATGCTGAATCTGACCTTTGAGCAGGAAACCATAAAAGCACCCCACTGACCTATGACTGCTGGGTTGAGCTGCCTGCTTCTTGGAAACCTCTGCTGTCCATCATCTTTGAAACTGTAACACTCCGGGGGTCATTTCTGCCCTTAGGGGCAGCTTCTGCAAACTGAAGGGGAAATGTTTTCCAGACTTTCCCATCTGAAGCAGGAACCTCCCAACTCTCCCCAGAAAGCCTCTGAGCTGCCATAGTGGCCCACACCTGCCATCCTGGCTGATGCTTAGGAGGTGGAGGCAGGGGGATCAGGAATTCAAGGGCATGCTATGCTACGTAGCAAGTTCAAAGCCAGCCTAGACTACATGAGACTATTTGAGAACAGCAAAACCAAGGAGCCCAGCTGTTCAGCACCCTTGTAGGACTGATTCCCCCGCTCCCCTGCTCAGGTGGTAGAGTGCCTGCCTGGCATGCGTGAATCCCTGGCTTTGATCCCCAGCACCACATCAACCAAGCGGGCTACCTGCAAAGAGAAAAAGAATTAACAAGAATATTAACAAGCACCTCACTGTGTGGTGATGAGGAATTATGACACAGGAAGTACCTGACAGCATGGGGCACATGGTACAGAAGTACACAGGTGTGATGTCCAGTAGAGGCATAGTTGGATGAAACAGTTTTGCCTTTGTTTCCCAGTAGAAAATGCTGAAACTCCAAGAACCAGCTGTCCCCATGGTGTTTAGTACGGCGAGGTGTCTTGTCAACAGCTGTGTGTGCTCAGCGGACAGTGGCTTTCAGGAAGGTGACTCTCCTTTCTGTTACAAGACAGTTCGTTGCAAGAACTTGGAGTCTCTTGGGGTCTCCTTCTAGCCTCCCCCAGTCATGTTCTAGTCTCTGTGCAGGCAGATGCCCAGAGGCCAGTAGGTCCACATCATAATGGCTTTCTATCTAGCTCCAGGCTAGTTCCCCACACTACTTCATAGCCCCTCGTCAGCCCAGCAGAACCTGCATTCCCTCCCCACCCACACACACACACACACACACACACACACACACACACACACACACACACATGCAAGCAAGAACTCCAGCTGCTGCTTCTGCCTTCCTGCCCTGGGGTTACCCCCCCACCCAAGGCTTGTAGAGACTTTGCAGTGTGAGAGCAGAGAAAGCCACAGCTCCTCACCAGAATCCTGAGATGGATAGAAGACACTGTAGGAAGCCTGCCTCTTCCCTTTTCTCTATTCTTGTGATAGTCTATTTTTAGAGATGGCACGATTTCAAAGACTTGCTTTGGCTAATGATGCTGACAGTTTAAACACCGCACAGTGGTTAAGACGAGATTTGAATTTGGACAGAATTTGATGTTAATTTGCTTCCACAACTTATCAGTTATGTGACCCCGGCTACTTAAATCTGTCTCTTCTAAAGTTTGTCAGTTAGGTTACATCTAGAGATAGGTAATCAATGTTGTTGGCATAGGTTGTACTAACTATTAAATGTAATGATGTTTGTGACATTTCTAGCAAAATACTAGACTTTAAAGTAGTGTTTAATAAACTATAGTCATTATTAGCAGTAAAATTTTTACATTTCCAAGTTGCTTGTGAAATTATGAAATTATTTTTAAAGCCACACTTTCAAAATTATAAAGTTGATAGAATGCATCTACTGTCATTTCCAGGGTGTAACTCATTTCCACTAGCCCGGACTTGCTTCCACAGCACAGATATTTTTATAGTACCAACTGTGTACCAAGGCACAGAGATAAACCTCCTCTCTGACCATGGCCTTGGGGGGGGGGTTGTTTCAAACTGCAGAGATTTCATTTATGGCCATGTTCAGCCTGAAGGGACCGTCAGCCCAACCTTACAAAGCCATAGAGATGCAGGAGTCGTCTTCATATACCCAGAAACCAGGAGGACAGTTTTAATTTGCTGAGAACTCCACAATAAATTACCCTTAGGCTCACACCCTCATCTAGGGGTTTTGAGATCATCCTACTGGGAAGCAAATAAAAGCTCAAAAGAGCTTCTAGAGAACTCCCCACAAAGCTCACACTTCCTGGGATGCACCAAATCAACAGTCCCGAGATCCTGCTTCTCATCCTTCCTGCCATCGGATGTGAGCAGAGTGGGGCTGATGCAGGCTGACCTGCCCTGTTGAGCTAGAGGACACAGAGCATGGGAAGAACTTCCAGGCACAGCTCCATTGTGAGCAGCATAGAGGCCCTGGAGCGAGGCATCATCAACCTCAATGTGTTCCTACAGAGCTGCCCTGGCAGGAGAGCAGGGACAGAGAAAGCTACACAAAGATGAACACATGGAAGAGGCCAGGAGTCTAGAAGCCTGCAGGAGAAAAGCCCTCCATAAAAGACTGGGAGAGGTGGGTACCAGGTAGAGGTCTGTCAACAGTCACTGCACGGCTGGATGCTTTCTATGCTCTTCCTCAGCTTACTAGTCCACTCCCATTCTTAGGCAATGTTTTCGTCTTATTAGTAAACTGTCTCCACTTCTAACCATGGTGTGCTCTTTTGTCATGTGACTCAAGAGCCAAGAATGGGGTGCCCTCTGAATGTAGTTTTCAGCTCAGCACTAAGCTTTTTTCCTTTCCTTTTCTTTCCTTTTTTTTTTTTTTTTTTTTTTTTTTTGATACTGGCTAAAAACTATACATGCTTTCCTAGACATGCTGGGCATTTTCGATGTCTCTACTAACTGAAAAGGCGGGGTTTTCCTCCATCTCCACCCCCTAGCAGCTTCAGGGATTTTTAGCTTGCCTTTGTTATTGTTTTTCTCTCAAACTTTGATAAAATTGTTTTTGAGTTTCCATCTGAGTCTGCTTTTTAAATTCTTTTACTAATAACAAGAAAGAGATCTGTCCACAACACCAGGCCGTTTCTACACATTTTCTCATTTACTCTCTATCAATTGCTGTCAGGCAGGTGGGTTTTGCCACCAATTTACCGATGAAAACTTTTGAGGCCCAGAAGGGTAATTTATCAATGGTCGGACAGTCAAGGACAAACCCACACTAGAGCTTAAGCACCCAACCTCTGAGCCCACTGCTTCCTCCCTGGCCTATCACGACAAGCAATCTTTGAGATAATCTATCAGGGATGAGCCTTTCATGAATTGCGAACACACATACTATAGAGAAAGAGACCTACCTTGTCTATAAAACTGTTGGCTGACCTCTGATGCCTGTATTTTTTATAACTGCATGTGGAGAAGTCACCAAAGCACTTCATATTCCTACTGCAATTACACATTCATCCCTTTTCATCCCCTCACCAACTCGTACCCCTGTGACCTGTCATTGACATTTTGTGTTGCCTTTTGCCAAGGGAGAGGAAGCCATTAGAGAGCGTGCTAAAACCAATGACCAAAAAGTTACAGAGCATCACAAAGTCTGCAGGGCTGGCTACCTCAATGCAACTTTCTTCCCAAGGACAGATGACAAAAACACCGAAGATATCATAACAAGTATTACAGGGGCGGGGGTGCAGAGAATCAAGATAGAAACTGCGGGGGTCCCTGCAAGCTTCATGACCTGCAGTGAAATGATCCAGGTGAGGTTAAGAATGAAACTCGGTCAGCAGAACTTCGTCAGGGCTGGGTTAAAACCTCCGGAGTCTGACACCAAGTGATTTATTTCTTACACATTTCAACAGTGAAGCGTTGGAAAAACGTTTTCACATAACAGTAATCACAGCAAAGCTTTAGGCATAGCTGCATCAAAACTCCCATGCAAAATACATCTCTTTAGCAAAGAACCTGTGACTTTTCCCACAAGAATGGGCTCAACTGACTGAGAAACAGTGCTCAGGAGTCTGCGCCTGGGGAGGAAGGGTTTGTAATAAGCATAATAGCAAATTCTCTTGCAAAGGCGGGCCTCTTTCATGAGGATGGGCTCTATTGACTGAGAGACACTTCTCAGGATTCCAGGGCATTCGGTAAAGGCTGGCTTTACAGATTAGCACACACCACTGGGTGTGAACATATCCTTCTGGATGGTGTCAGTTTCCTCTGTGGAAGACTCTGGTTTCTAGTGTTGTCTGTAACTCGTGCCCTCTACAGGAAACTGTGAATGACAGCCCGCATCCCAAGTCACGCACAACAGGAATGAAGACAGGACACACCCTGGGTGGGAAGCCTCCCCTCTCACCCTCTCATGATGATCATAAAGCAAGAGAGTCTGCCTCTTGTGACTTCTCCGAGGGTTAGAGGAGCTGTGAGCCATGGGGAAAGGGGTGACAAGGAAGTCATTGCTCACTAAAGTTCCAGGCCCACAATAAGCATTACTTTATCAAATCCTTAAATGATCTTTTTAAAATTACACGTATCTGCTGGCCGGTGGTGGTGCACACCTTTAATCCCAGCACTCGAGAGGCAGAGCAAGGTGGATCTCTGTGAGTTCAAGGCCAGCCTGGTCTACAGAGTGAGTTCCAGGAAAAGCTCCAAAACTACACAGAGAAACCCTGTCTCAAAAATCTAAAAAAAAAAAAAAAAAATTACATGTATCTGTGTGTGTGTCTTTGTACATATCTGTGTGTGAGCCTGCGCCTGAATGTGTGTCTATGTGTGTGTGTGTCTGTGTGCTTATGTGTGTCTGTGTCTCTGTGTGTATATACCTGGGTGTGTTTGTCTATGTACGTATGTGTCTGTGGTTGTCTCTGTGTGTGTCTGTGTGATTGTGTCTATATGTGTGTCTGTGTCTCTGTATATGTGTGTATGTCTATGTATGTCTATGTCTATGTATGTATGTCTGTGTGTGTCTATGTCTATGTATGTGTATGCTTGTGTAACTGTGTGCATGTATGTGTGTATGTGTGTCTGTGCTTCTGTGTGTGTCTGCTGCCTGTGTGTATATGTATACCCATGTGTAAGTGCACGAATACCACAGCATACAACATGGAAGTCAGAGGGTAACCTTCAGAAGTCACACCTTCTCTTCTTCCACGTGTGCTGTGGAATGTTCTGTATGGCAAATGTGTTGCTAATTAGTTAATAAATAAAACACTGATTGGCCGTTGGCTAGGCAGGAAGTGTAGGCGGGACAAGGAGGAGAATAAAGCTGGGAAGTGGAAGGCTGAGTCAGAGAGACACTGCCAGCTGCCACAATGAGAAACAGCATGTGAAGATGCCGGTAAGCCACGAGCCACGTGGCAAGGTATAGATTAATAGAAATGGGTTAATTTAAGCTGTAAGAACAGTTAGCAAGAAGCCTGCCACGGCCATACAGTTTGTAAGCAAAATAAGTCTCTGTGTTTACTTGGTCGGGTCTGAGTGGCTGTGGGACTGGCGGGTGACAGAGATTTGTCCTGACTGTGGGCCAGGCAGGAAAACTCTACCTACACACGTGGGCCCTGGGGATCCAACTCAGGTTGTCAAGACTGATGGCAAGCGTCTATGCCTTCTAAACCAAATCCGTGCCCTTGAGGTTAAGTGGATTTTTAAGGCCAGTATAATTAACTAAACACTACAGGTGAGGACACCAAGCTCAGAAAGTTCTCATAAATTTCCCAATACCACAAGTGGCAGACATGGAATCCAAATCCAGTTTGTGATACCAACACAGCCCAGGCTGGTGCCACTCACAGAACTGATGTGTGGGCTGAAGGCTGGGCTTACACTGAGCGGTATTTGTCTTATTTAGCTCGAGTCAGTGCGTTGGGGTAGATGACTGGGCTTGTCAGTCATGCAGGTCATTCTCCATACTAGATCATACCGTCTGCAGAGTTATAACCAAGGGCAGTCCAGGTAATTCTCCATACAAGATCATACCATCTGCAGAGTTATAACCAAGGGCAGTCCAG